GAGTGAACCATACTCAGTCACTATGTATGATATTTTAAATGTGTTTTTGAATTCCATTTATAATTACTTTGGAATAAGGAATTTTTTTTTTTTTGCTACTTTCTCTTAATTCAATGAATAGATTTGTTCTAATAGTGTTTGTGGACAGGATATCATGTCTGCATCTTGTACTATGAATAACCACTAAGAAGACAATAATATGCAATATATTCATTATTGAAGCTGTCCTACTAATTGGTTTTGAAACTCTCATTGCTATTTGTTTCTCAATAAAATCATTCAAAAAATTAAAAAATAAAAATAATTTTAGAATCATTTGTCATACCATGCATTTTATTGCTTTCTATGAATTCATCATTTTCTTTGTTTACTTTCTCAGGATGCTCAGAGTACGTTTTGATGTTTTCATCTAAGTACCAAGATTCATTCTCATCAAATACTAGAAACAGAAGGGAAAATTCCCGCTTCTTTTGGGGATTAAATATTGTCATGAAGTGTTTCCTACAGACAATCAGTGTGCCGATCAATCCACTGTAGAGGTCCTGGAAACAAGCAAAAACCTCAGTCATCCTTGCAATGTAGGGCAAGATCGCAGAGCACCCGGACCGCATCACCCCTGATGTCAAGAATTTGGAGGGGCTGATTTAAGCAGTTGACTTGGGCCTGTGTGATGCTGGCAGTTTAACTTCCACCCTGTTAAGGTGAAACAGGGCTGAAGGGGGCAGATGGGTGATGTGTAAGGGAAACACTCAGAGCCCAAAAATTGGCTTAGCTAATGAGCACTAATTTAAAAGAGCCCCAAAGAGCATTGCTTTATTTATTACCTAAGCTCATGAACTCATGAGGCTGTATGAAGCATTGTGCCAGTCACTGTACCTCCATCAAGAATAAAACAAGGGTCCTGCCCTCTAGGGGAAAACAGGAATAGAAAAAACAAAAACAAACTAAAGAAAAAAACAGAGGAACTGAGTTCAAGACCAGCGTGAACTACATTGTGAGACCTGTCTCAAAACCAAACAAAACTATTACGTACAGTGGAGCAAGGGAGTTACAGAGGATGCTTTTGGATACAGAGGAAGAAGGCTGCAGTTGACTGAGACCTATGAGGAGTTTGGCTTGGATACCTGTCATTGATGACACATGATTTGTGAAGTGCTTTTGAGTTGTATCAGGACTTGCAGATTTCATCTTATATGTCATAGGCAGGCATTGGAAAATGCGACAGAAAAATTGTATTTTAATGCAGTCATTCTGGTTAAGTAGAAAAGTCTTGGAAGTGACTTGAAGCTGAAGGGCCATGACAGTAGCTGAGGCAGATTCAAGAACCTGAACCATGTGGGTGGAGAGAAGGAATGGATGGAGCTATAGGTAGGGTAACTGCATGGGAAAGTGAAGAGGAAGTGGGGGCTCATTAATTCAGAGTCCTGCTTAACCAAATGGGATTTGTTCCTTGTGATGCTGTTTATTATAACAGGAAGTACAGGAGGAGGCAGAAGATCCCAGTATCTATTTTACAGTTGCTAAGTCTGTGGCAACTGCTGGTGGAGATGCCCAGTGTGTGTACAGACAGGATGAGAAGCCAAAAGAGAGACTAGAGACTTAATTCTACAGAAGTCTGAGCATAACTTCTATTTGTGGTTATTGACTTATTTTTTGGTTTTGAAATATTCCATCAAACAATAACTTCAGTTCTATGATTGTTGACATCAGCTTTCTTTAAAATCATATAATAAACTAAAACCATGTGCTTCGGTTCTCTCTCTCTCTCTTTTTTTTTTTTTTTTTTTTTTTTTTTTTTGCGGAACCAGGGTTTCAACTCAGGCCCTTGTGCTTGCCAGGGAAGCACTTATTCTACTGGGCCATCATCTCCTGGCCCCTCCTCAGTCTTTTGAGTTCAACATTTTCATATCAAAAAGGAAATAAAAATTACGTCTATACTTAACTGCGCTAAGTGTTATCTATAATCAGTACCCATAAGACAGTTGTAATTATCTTCAAAAGTAAGCAAGCTAAAAAAAAACATGAAAGAAATTGTGGAGTAGCTTTCCTAGGATGTTAACAGAGCTGAAGCACAGGAAAACTGTAACCTCATTTTCCTTCAATTGTTTGTCTATTTTAGTAACTGTCACAAAACACAAATGATTTAAAGTGTACCTTAACTTGATCCACAGTTGAATAGTAAACCCATGGGATGCAAGCCAAATCCTCTGGTCCAGCACCAGATCTTTCTGGGATGTGCCATATGTACATGCGAGTTTCACCTGGATAGATCAAGTATTCATATATCTGGTTATATATGGCTCCTATTTAACCCTAATAATGTGACCCCTGAACTGGAAATGTCAGAGTATAATGGTATTCAAACTTCAGCAGTTTAGTTGTAAGGTAAATGCTAAGACGTGTGTGTGTGTGTGTGTGTGTGTGTGTGTGTGTGTGTGGTGCCTGCGCACACTCTGAATTTACTGGTTATGTTGTACCTGCCATAGCACAAAGCCTAGAGGTGACCATTCCAAAATGTGAAGAAACTTTGTGCACCAATCATTTCTAAGCTTGAAGCACATTTTCATAATATACTTTCTTCTTCACCCATAAGGTATCCTCCGCTGACTGGCATCTTCCCTGTAGGCATCTCTGTCTGTGTAGGGACCCATCTGTGGAATCCCCTTAGCTTTCCATGGTCCCCTTTCCTTCTCACCCACATCCCAATGAGCCACGAACCTCTCTTATCTTTTGCATCACTGACTTACCACAGTTTTGTCTGCCTGCCCTTTCCCAGTCTGTCACACACTGCCCTGTCCCTGCTCTGTGACTTGTAGCGCATAATCACATCCTGGTCCTTGGCACTTTGAAGATGGCCAGGAGCTCCAGCCCTATACCCTGCCAGGCCCCCACTTCCTTCATATGTGCTCCTGGTCCAATCACCTCTGAGCGTCTTGTGTGCCTTGGCTTTGTGCCATGCTACTCATTGATCCTTACCATACTTCCTGTCCACTCCTGTATGCAAGCCTCATGTATTACATATGTAAATATCACTGTCAGACTTCAACTCAGCAGTGGCAAATCTTGACTAGGGAGTCAAGCGGCACATGAGGGATGTAGCACTCCATTTTCCTCAAGCTCATTGTCCCCTGTTCTCATGTTACTTTTTAAGCAAAATATTTGACATTTTGATTGATTTACTACCTGAATATATCATTGCTCGGTCTCTGCTTTTACTTACGACTGCAAGCTGTGAACTTGCATTCCCTTCTCTGCTGTCCTTCCCACCCTGCTCTTCCACCAGGGGTCAGTGCCCCAAACCTCGGGCTCATCCATGGCTTCTCTGTTCCTTCACACTTCCTAGTGGCCAATTTGTCAGCAGGTCTTTTTAGCACCCCCTTTAATCTTAATAATTCGGGTAATTAAAAAAAAACTCAGATTATTGCAGTATGTAGTTCACTATTGGAGCAGGGTAAGTTTTTGGTTCCTCAGGGTATTGCACTAGGTAACTGTGGCTACCCTTGCCTCCTACAGCAGTCACTTATCCACACATTATCTAAAACACTCTTACAAACTGTTCATCAGATCATCACCTTTCAGCCCAAATCCTCACATTAGATTAGAATAAAAGCTCAAATTCCAGGTCCTTGCTGCTCAACCGGGCCCCTGCTTTCCCTGTGTCCCATTTGACAAAACATTTGCTTGTGTGCTCTGGTCTCCTTGCGGTTTCTCAGACGCAGGCACGCACGTCAGGCTGTGCTTATCTCAAGGACTTGGGCCTTCCGGTTTCCTCCCTTAGAGACCTGTGTTGCCACCTTCCTCAGCCGCCCCTGCCTGCCCTACCTAAGGTCATCCCTTGTCTCTCCACTCCACTCCCTTCCTCCAAGTGAATCTTTTTCATAGCATTGTTTACTTCTCAGCATTGTGATTTTATTTATTTTCCTCAAGAGATTAAATTACCTCCTTAGAAGAGCATGCGGGCCATATGGGCAGGAATTTCTATTTCTATTCCCCTAAACTTTCAATAAAGTTATTCTCAGTTGATGTATTTGAGAACTAAGTCATTGAAAAATGGTCCTTTTCTAGAAGCCAACTGTACAACTATTTAAAAAAAAAATACAGTTCTGATTAAAGAAACAATCCACACAGTTTCCATTCTATGTTAAACAAAAACTTATTGAGCACATAGGACAGGCCAGACAGGACTAGATACAGGCAGCCCTAGCTCCCTGGACCCTCTGGGATGCTGGCTTGCAAGCACAGCCCCATGCAGAGCATTAGATGCTGTTTGAGATGTGTTGTAGCCAGGCATGGAAGAGCCTCTTCCTGACTCACCTGTGGTATTTGTGGATCTCCAGTACCTTCCTTTCCCCCCCCCCCTTAGAGCTCTCCTGTAGACTCTCTTCTCTATCTCTGTCTCTGTCTGCCTCTCTCTCTGAACAATATTCTCAGCCTTTTTTTTTTTAAATGTGTGTGTGTGTGTGTGTGTGTGGCCAGCTCAGCCCACCAGGGGGGGGGGCGGGCTGGCATGTGGTGCTGGGGGATTGAACCGCGGTCCCTGTGCTTTGCCAAGCTTGTTCTAAGTAGGTGCTTTAGACCACTAAGCCATCTCACCAGCCCCCTCAGCCTTTTTAAAAACAATTTGACACAGGATCTTACTCAGTCACTGTTGCCTAGGCTGGGCTGAAGCTTGTAACCCTCCCACCTTAGGATCCAGAGTTCCATTGATTTCAGGTGCATGCGATACAGGGATATACTGCACACATACACACAGACCCTGTAACTCCACACCTGCAACCTCCCTCTTCCCTTCCTCAAGTCACACTTGTTTGGAAGGAATATTTCTGTGAGACCAGTGATTTGTCTATGAATAGGCCACAAAGTAAGACCGTTCCTCCACCAGTACCTGGTAGTGTTGGAGTAACTGTAGAACCCTCCGTTTTCACCCCGTGGGCATGTATTGAGTAGGGCCTTGTTGCCATGTTTTTAAAGACAATATTAATTTTGTCTCCAACATTTGCATAAAGTTGTGGACCTGAGAATGGTGAAAAGAAAGTGGCTTATTTATCTGTAAGATTAAACTTCTTAGTAATAAAGGCAAAGATCAGGTAACTTTCTCAGTATGAATTCAGGAGTCTGTTTCCCCATAATTTTGGGCTGGGTTTTTTTTAATTTTAATTTTTTTTTTTTTTTCGAAACCAGGGTTTGAACTCAGGCCCCTGCACTTGCTGGTCAAGCACTTATTCCACTGAGCTTATTCCACTTATTCCCCGGGCCCCTTTGTGCTGCTGTGTTGGATGAATGGTTCCAGAAGATTTGGGATAAAAACACAGGAGTCAGCTCCCTGTAAGTGTGGAGACTGCAGTGTATCTGTCATTCTGGGTACCACAAGAAGGCTGGCCTGCAAGTCTCCTGCAGGCCAATGGTCTGGTCAGGGTGTGCTGGTACCTGAATAGGCATCATTCCGCAGCACTGCCTCTGGAATCTCAGACCTTCCTGAGGGCCACATTTGCAAGGACAGGGCTACCTCTCTCGGTTCTGCCTGCTAGCAAGTAGTCTTAGCTTCTGTTGCCCTGCAGCAATATCCCCTTCCCTTTGGTGTCTTACTGTAGAAGCTGAAGATAACTAAGCCCATTAGAAACTCTGAGCATGTTGAAACAAGGGGGTGGGAAAGGGTGCCTTTTGCACCTGAGGATTTTCCAGAAAACTCCCAGGACAAATTAGATATTCTTAAGGTGGCTGTGGAGCAACTGAAGGCAGCTTTCCCTTTGCTTCTGTGCAATAACACTTTTTCATATACATATACTATTATATAAAATATAAAACATATAACTTTGTCATTGATCATTTAGATCTTGATTTTAAAAATAAGTGAATTTTTTGTTGTTGTTGCTTCAGTGGAAGTACATAATGGGGAGTTTGGTCAAGAAATTCACTAGGAAGCAGTTCCCTGAAAATTCAAACAAAATTACAAGAATCAATTTGATAAACACCAAAAATAATTTCATAGCTGATAGATAAGTAATATATTTATTGACCATTTCTTTAATAAACGTTGTTTGATTTTTTTGTGTGTGTTACTTGGGATTCAGCTCAGGACCTCTGCACTGAACTACATCCCCAGCCCCCTTTATTTTTACTTTTTTAAATTTTGAGACAGGGTCTTGCTCAAACACTAAACTGTGCTGGCTGGGCATGAATTTGTAATCTTTCTGCCTCAGCCTCCAGCATGCTGGGATTATAGATTAGCATCACCGTTGCCAGTCTAAGATTCTCACATTTATTGAAGAACTACTTTTTTTTTTTTTTGCGGAACCGGGGATTGAACTCAGGCCCTTGCACTTGCCAGGGAAGCACTTATTCCACTGAGCCATCTCCCCAGCAAGAACTGCTTTTTTAAAGTATGGTTTTAATAGAAGGAAGCCCACAGGAAGGTGCTGACTGTCGCTACATGAAGCAGCCTGCCTCCAGCCCACACCAGCCACAGGCGCTGTTAACCTACCTAGAATTCCCAGGTGTTGTTCTTCTGCTTTTCTCTCCACCTGCACTGTGAATGTGTTGTCCGTGTATTGCTGATATATCACTTTCTTGTACTTGGAGCCTATGTAAAACTCTCCCTTGTCCAAAAATGCATTTGAAGCACTAAAAACAAAACAAAACAAAACAACCCTCTCAGGTTAGTATTTGGCTTGATGAAAATGGAAGCCTAAGTTTCAAGTTTTAAACTTTGAATTAAAATACAATTTTTTAGAGTAACTAATTAAAAAACAAAGACTGTAAAACTAGACAGGGGTAGTTGGATGTGCCTGGTATCTGAGTGATGCCGCCCCAATCTTGGCCCTCAGTGCTACTGGCTAGGATGACGTAGCTTGCCGTTGCCTGTTGGAGTCTGTTGATCGGATCCTCTCTAAGGTTTCCATTAAAATGCGATGAGTCCAGATTCAATCCATGATGTGTTCTGTGGCTACTGCGGTAGGCACTGAAGTGGTAGATCTTTCCCACTGAAATGGTGGGAGATTTCCACTGAAACTCTTACCACTGAAGTGGTAGATTTTTCACCTTCCCTGAAATTTTCATTGACTCCTAAAGGATCCTGTAGCCTGAAATTTTCATTGACTCCTAATGGATCCTGTAGCCTTTCAACCATTATGCCCCAATCACGAGAGTAAACTTTGACAACCCTTTCCCCTACAACTGCCCTGCCACGTGCCTACCTATGCAGGTCACCAGTCATGTGCTTTGGATCTGCCCATCCCACTGTGTGATGGACCTCCCCTCCCCTGGTCCTATCCTTGAGGTCAGATGATATGAGTGGGATGATAGAAGTGGAAGTGCTTGGGAAAGTATAAAAGAGCTAACTGAAAGTGTAGGGTGATACCCTCTGAATGGATGTTTTTGGAGTTCCAGCGACCCATCTTCTACTTACATGTGTTCATACTGATTTTTTGGGTTTTTTTCGGTACCAGGGATTGAACCCAGGACCCTGTGCTTACCAGGCAGGCACTTATTCTACTGAGCTATCTCCCTGGCCCCCTGAATTTATTTTTTACTTTTCCACAATGCACATGTTGTTCAACCATATTTTCTTGTAACTTCTAAAAAGATAGTATAGCTGTACTGCTGTCACACATTTTAAATATGAAAGTTTTAGGACTGTGAAAATATTTTTTTTTAAATATTTATTTGTGTGTGTGTGTGTGTGTGTGTGTGTGTGGCCAGCTCAGCCCACCAGGGGGCGCGGCTGGCTGGCATGTGGTGCTGGGGGATTGAACCGCGGTCCCTGTGTTTTGCGAAGCTTGTTCTAAGTAGGTGCTTTAGACCACTAAGCCATCTCACCAGCCCAAGGACTGTGAAAATATTGCTTATTAAGTTAAATATAAAATTTTGGTGCAAAAATAAGCCAATAGGGCCTGCCAGATAGCTCAGTGGACTTAAGTGCCTGTTTAGGCAGATGCAGCATCCGGGGTGCACTGAGACAGTGATTGCAATTGAGACTGGGTGTGTTGACACATGCTTATAATCCCAGCACTTGGGAGGCTGAACACAGGAGGATCAAGTCCAACTTATGTAGTGAGACCCTGTAGACCCTGTAACAAATACATTAAAAAAAGCCAATAGTATTTGGCCAAGAAAATAATATGTGAGCTCTGGATTTGGACTTTAATTTTGGTTAAGTTTGAAAATCAATGACAAGAGAACAGCACAGGAATAAAAGAAAACAATCCAATAGAAAAAAAAAAAAAAAAGCAAGATGAAAGACTAAAAAAAAATCAAAAGAAAAACGAAAGTTTTCCTGTGAAAATTGAGAAAAGCAGAAATGAACAGGGACAGGCTCCTGAAAAGTTTTGTTGTTGTGGCATGAGACACAACAGTTTCATTTTCTAAAAGCTAGCATAATTTTTCTCTGAAAGGGAAACCTAAAATTTCAGCTGAACAAACGAAATCAGAGTCTCAAGAATTACTTTTGCTCCTGTAAATGATGCAGCTCCTGTTCCCATTCCCTGTGTGGTGAGTAATCCCATTCCACCTCCACTGCTGCAACATAGTAGGTCCTTTCTCCCATGCAGGGAGTAGACTCTTCGAACAGGTGCTGGCATTGGTTCACAGTATATTTTTGTTTCATGCCACCTGCGTAGTGATCCGTTGTAAGGCACTCAACATCGAAAGTCCCTGGAGTGGTAAATTTAAAAAAAGTTGCTCTTTTGCTCAGTACTTTCTGTAACCCCCCACCTTACCCAGAGTCCGTACCAAAGTCTGCATCGTGATGATGGATGACCTAGCTACCCCAGCCACTGATCACGGCACCACTGCTCAACTCACTCCAGTGCATAGGCCTCTTCACTGTTCCTGGAACAGGTCAAGTGTGCGCCTGCCTGAGGACCTGTGCTCCTGTTGTTTTCTCTACCTGGAATAGTTCTCAAATGTTTACATGATTCCTTCTCTCACTGTATTCAGGTCTCACTTTAATTATCACCTCCTGAGAGAATCTTGGCCCCTTCCCCTGCCCTGCTTTGCTCTGCTCTGCTCTGCTCTGCTCTGCTCTGCTCTGCTCTGCTCTGCTCTGCTCTGCTCTGCTCTGCTCTGCTCTTCTTCCCCTGCCCCATGGTTTTGGGGATTGAATTTGGGACCTTACACTTGCCAGGCAGGTAGGTGCTTCTGCTGCTGAGCTATATCCCTTGCCCCTGCCCTACTTTTCCTCATGGATTTAAAATCACTTAACATACTGGTACATGTTTTAAAATAGTTGCTTGTTGTCTGTCTTCTTGGATTAGAATATCAGCTCCATGAGACATTTTATCTGTTGTTCATCTTTGTATTTACATATGTCAAATGAATGAAAGGGCAACAAACTTAATCTTAAATTAGTAAACATATTTTAGTGGCACATAATAAAATAGAGACAAATTAGCATGTTCTCATATTTTCATTGGAA